ATCCAGGTAGTCTCATTGAGCCACGAGAACTCATTTTCAAGAGAGATCTGTTTAGGAGCAGGTGGGGTTTAAGAGCCTTGCTCATGGGCCCAGAGTGGGGCGAATGAGGGTGGGGACAGGTGTAGGTGCTTCACCTACCCCACCCACATTTTTTGATGTTGTCAGTACAGGGGCTTGAACCGGCGATCTTCCGATCACAGACCCACCTTCTCTAACCTCTGCGCCACCACTCCTCCAACAACCAGCTGGCCAATATACATATATAAAATATATGTGTGTGTGTGCGTGTGCGTGTGTGTGTGTGTGTGTGTGTGTGTGTGTGTGTGTGTGTGTGTGTGTGTGTGTGTGTGTGTGTGTGCATGTGCGTGCGTGTGTGTAGTGATCCCTCACCCATCATGAGGGTTATGTTCCAAAGAATCCTGCAGTAGGTGAAAATTCACAAGGTAGCAACATATTTATTTTATAATTATAATAATTTATTTAATTTGTACTGCACTTTACATTTTACAGTCTCAAAGTGCTAATTTGCTATTTTAATATTACTGTAATATAGATCTTATGGCTTTATAAACCTTTCCCACTATTATAAACACTTAATATGCTCTTAAACACTTCGGTGATGACGATGAGATGATTGTACGGTACACATAATATAATAAGCAGGGTTTCTAAATGTATAAAACATGGGATACTTTGAAGCTGCAAGATGTGAGCGGCGTTATATCGAGGGATGACTGTATATTGACCAAGATTGGATCAAGTTTTTGTTACTGAGTTTGACCCTCCTGATAGTTCTGACAGGTCAGTGATGAAGATTTTAGTGTTTTATACAAGCAAAGATATCATATCTGCAGCCTTTTCTTCTGTCTCATCCTGTTTTGGGTCAGTTAATCATCTTACCTGTTTATGGACAAACATGTTTGTAGTTGTCTCTCAGTTAAATCTGTTTTTGTATGTTCTGTAACACAATCTATGCTTGATCTTATCCAGCTGCCTTAGCTAAAGGGATGTCTGAGGTCGAACCTACAGTTGTGTCTCAAAACGGAGCCCCACCTGGGAGGAAAAGCACTTTGGTCCTGTTACCAGAACTGGAGTACCGTGAAAAAGGGAAGGACAGTACATCGAAAGAGCGAGAGGGTAAAAAACAAAACGCAGTGGGCATCAATAACAACAGTATTATACACGAACTGGACTCCAGACTACAGGAGACAGAGCTGATCGAGAACTACGTTGGAGCAAAGAGACTGATCAACGACCTGGCAGGAGAGAATATGCTCGCTGACAGCAACACACACGTGACTTCTAAAGAGGAAATGGGGGGGACGGGGAAGAACTACAAAAATGTCAGCGGAGGGGGCAACTCGTCCCCGAGGAATCACAGCTCTACCAATGGCAGCCTCCCTCCAGGCTCCTCGGCCAGTAAGAACGAGAAGAAACAGAAAGGTGCAGGGAGGGGGCAGAAGGATCCGGTGGAAAACGGCATCCCCAACAACCAGCTGGCCAAATCTGACACTCTGGTCCGGTAAGGCCCGCCGTCTTAATGATCCAACATCAGCCTGCTTCAGTTACCAACATGAGTCCATCAGAATGTCAGGCAGCAGATTATCATACTTTGAGCTATTTTAGCTGTTCCTCTATCAAAACGTTCAGCTCATTCTGGAGACAGGTGCCTTAACAGTTAGCTTTTGTATCTTTTGTTGTTGATTTTCTTTTTTCTAGTCCCCTCAGCTTCAGCAGCAATGACCACCGAGCTGCTGTGGCTCTGGCTTTTGTATCTTTTATACTTTTTTTGTATCTTTATCTACAAATATTTTCTTTATAGAAAATATCTACTGTAACTGCCAGGCTACAGAACGCACCTGACTCTAAGCCACACATACTAAATTTAAGATAAAACATAATTTTGTACATAAATAAGACCTGTCGGTTATTAAGCCGCGGGTATCCTCGTTTCATTATCAGAATCTGTCCAGCTCCTGGCAGTATGTGCAGCTCTTGTTGTAGTACAAGAATCAACCACCGGATGGCGTTTCAGACTACGGCTTGGTGGTCGTCATAAGTCTTCATGATGCTTCGCTGTCTGACTTGTAACTGTCATTTCTTACACAAACCTGGAGCCCGGCCCAACCCGGATTAGGGCCAGGCCAGTGTCGGGCTTTTGATTGTGTCAGTAGACGCGCGCGGCTGACGATCCAATTATATGACAACGTGGCTTGCCATACTATCACCAGCTGCACGCCATTTGACTGCGCGCTGACCGGCCTTGAAAGAGGTAAAAATAAGTTTAGTTAATCACTGCCAGGCAGCGATTCATCAAAGCCCAAATGGGGCTGCACTCAGTGGACGAGCGCGGCCGACGACCCAAACAAGTGAGATCCCAAAATATCTGACATGTCAGAGCAGGGTCCATGTCTGAATAATGCAGAATGCAGGCAGAAGCAGGGATTTAATGCATCTTGATGGCCATGAAAGGACAAACACGCCCTCAGCTCTGATCTTCTGCCCCCTTAGCTGTGCGCGTCCACCGGCTGTTAATAACTATATAAGCTGTCAAAGCTTAATTAAAAATGTTGAAGGGGGTTTCGAGTTCGGACCTGTAATTACTGTTAATTTGTTGGGTCAGGTGGGGTTCAGAAATAATGGGTACAGGCAGGGACTGGGTCGGGTCAGATTTTTTTGGGCCTGAATGCAACTCTAGACTCATGGTTAAAACCACTCAACCTACAAAATGACCACCATAACTAATCATAATCACTGGACAGAACAGTGAAAACACCTACGTAACCGAAATCATTTAAAAATTACATACTGGTCAATTTTACCCAGAAGTCTTATCGAGGTCATGTGACCAGGAGTCACATACAGTAGTACCGGTAAAATATGGTAAATGTTCATTAAATTAGTCTCATTGATATTTATTGTTAAACACTTTTGGTAACAGCTGCTGTTTTAAATGTACTTTCTAAATAAATTTGATGTGATTTCTGCTCAGCGGAGCCCACATGAGGAGGAGGAGGAGGAGGTTGAAGAAGGGAGAAGAGCCCCTCCCTCCTGTTATCTCCTCTCCGTGCTGAGCTTAAAAGAGATACTGTACCAGTATTTAAACACATATTTACAGTGCACAGAAAGATGTCACACAGAAATTATATATATATATATATATATTTTAATTAAAATACGTATCAGACTTGTCTGCTTTAAAAATAAATTTTCATGACTTCTGCTCAGCGGAGCCCACGTTGTGACCCGGAGGAGAGGAACATCCGGTAAATGTTTTTGTGGGGCGGCTGTGGCTGAGTGGTTAGAGCAGTCATCCTCCAATGCGAGAGTTGGGGGTTCAAATCCACCAGCAGTCACATGACGAAGTGTCCCTGGGCAAGACACTGAACCCCTCATAGCCTCTGATGTGTGTCCCATCAGTGTATGAATGTGATAAAGCTCTGATTAGTCTCATTAGAATGATTTGTTCAATTAGCTTTGTAGAGATGTAGAGTGCTGTATGAATGGGTAAATGAGGACACAGATTGTAGTGTAAAGAGCTTTGAGTATCTTGAAATAAGATAGAAAGGTTCTATATAAGTACAGTCCATTTACCATGTACCTTTTTTTTTTTTTTCCTGAAAAATGCCTTTAACACGGCTTTAAAAAAAGGACTAGTGTCGACCAAAAGTCACTCATCGCTATACCCAGATCCTGTGATCCGAAGTCCTCTTCAAGGCTCAGAAAAACATCATCACACACCGACTCCGTCTCGCTAGTCTCAGCAGGCACCTGTTTCCTCCTTCAACAGCCAGATCGATCGCTTTTAACTTGAAAGCTGCATCATAAGAAATTCTTGGTTCATTTTCCATTATCGCTGCAGATGAACAGGTTTTGTGCATGAAGCGCAAAATACGATAACGATCTGAAGAAATAAATGCACGTCTATCTTGAGGGATGGTCCTTGAGAGTACCTCATTGGTCATTCAGGTTAGACTTCTGGTCACATGATGACAGAGTGGGTGGAGTTATGGTAGGGAATTTGAAACCCTGAGCGAGAGGTTTGGTACATGTGATTACCTCGCTCTGTGTAACATTAGCAGCCACATTAGCACGCAGCTCCGTCGAAAAATAATTCTACAGCTGCAGGAAGCTGCTGATATATGGCAGGAAGTCTGTCAAAATAAAATTTAAATGATTAAAATTGTGAAAAACCACACAAATTAGCTGCATATAAACTGCAGGTTGCAAAGTGTGAGAATAAAACTAGTGGCTTGTACACCAGCAGTTGCAGTGTTTATTGAGTTCCCTTCAAATCCTTGAAAAACGTCGTTATTAAAATCTGCTTCAACATGCACGCTCCGTTTTGTTTTTAGCTAGCAGTTTATTACTTTGAGCTTTTTGCAAACCTTTTATTATTGTTAGCATTTAGCTAGTGTTTTGCTACTTTTAGCTTTAAATAGCATTTTGCTTTTTTTAAATTTCAGTTTTACATCTTCAGCAAATTTCTGCAGTCGTTTAACACTCGGCATTCACAGCATTTTGGCAGAAAATGTATTTTCTCTGGTTCCGTAAGGTCCGATGTAACGAACTGAAGTGTTCACCTTCACTCCTCCTTCCAGAGTCGCTGCATGTGTTGTGAAATTTTTCCTTCTCATGTTGTGAGTGATGCTGTGGTTCCTTGCAGGTTGGAGCAGGATGTGAAGCGGCTGAAGGCAGATCTGCAGGCCAACAGGCAGCTGGAGTCGGAGCTGCGCAGTCAGCTGTCCTCTCTGAGCAGCCAGGACCGCAGCCTTCGCTCTGAACTGGGCCAGCTGCGCCAGGACAACGAGCTGCTGCAGAACAAGTACGTGCACCCACCAACCTTCTCTTGTTCTCTTAATCTGGCCTCAACAACAATTCTAGTACAGTAGATGATGTTTTTCATTCTTTATAAGTAGTTGTGCCCAATTCCAGCCCCAAGTACTCATACTTGTACTCATAAAAACACCCCAGTACTTCAAACCGATGCCACTTTTATGCTTGGTGATGTCATTTCCTCGTCCACTTTGCAAGTAACAGAGGACAAAAATGTAAATGTCCACAGTTTAGAGATATTTAAGATAAACACATGTGATGTCAGCAGTCTGTTTGCTGTTTGTAATAAAAGGAATGCGCTTCTAAAGTTACTGTGAAATGTTTCAGTACTAACTCATTAACTACTCTGTATTACTGAGTATTGGCAAGTACCCAAACTGAAGTCTTTGTATTTATGCTCAGTCTGATTAAAAAGCTAGTATTTGGGACACACAAATTCATAAGTCTTGATACGTTTAAAATGTAAAACTATCACACGCTAAGGTCAAAGTGGAAAAGATGTCTACATTTTTTATTAAATGTGTTCAGTGTGTAGCTCTAAAACTAGCAGTACCCTCCGAGAGTATTCACACTCCAATACTTTTTGAGTTTTTTGTTTTAAGTTGCATTTTGATACAACGTTCAAATTAATTCTTTATTTTTCCCTAATAACCCTCACTCTGTACCCTTGATGATGAGTGAAAAGAAAATGTCACTTATTCTAATAATTTATTTGAAAAACTGAACTATCATATTGACATAAGTAGTCAGATTAATCCAGGTAGATACATCTAAAGGTCTTTTTATTTTATTATTTTTATTTGAAATGCTTTGGATAAAAGATGAAATATATAAAGAAGAATGTGTCCAGAGAACCTTCAGACTTTTCTCTTAGTCCTGAGTTAAAGCACCTTTTAGAGCAGTTTTAAGCCTGGAGCGTTTCTGGGTTTGATGCCATCCAGTCATTCTGCTTGTTCTGAAGTCAGGTCTCGGGGGCTGCAGCTTGAGCAGGAGCCCCAGACATCTCTGTCCACTGCCACCTCTTCCAGCTATTCTGGAAGGACTCTGAGGCGTTCCCAGGCCAACTGAGAGACATAGTCTCTCCAGCATGTCCCATGTTCTCCTCCCAGTTGGGCATGCCCATTAAACCTCCTTAGGGAGGCGTCCAGGGGGCATTCTTACCAGATGCCTGAAGCATTTCAATTGGCTCCTCAGCAGCTCCACTCAGAGTCTCTCCCAGATTGTGTTCTAGAATTGCGCCACTCAAGGTGGCTGCATGTTGGAGCAGCTCTGTTACTTTCATTCTGAGGTTTTGCTTTTGGAAACTTTAATTCCTCTTTTTCTGGATATAAATCACATTTTTTGGAGGATTGTTTCCTCTGGTATCAGATGCTGTGCAGCTGGAAGGATTTTTACTGAAACTTTTTTAGTTTTGGACATTTGTTATGATGCGTAACCATGGCAACAAGGCAGTTTTCTACAACCAACAGCAGGTGATTAACATCTCAAAAGCTCAAATAATATCTCAACTACAGCCCCAAATCTCAAACGAGTTGAAAAGGATGTTCTGTGGATGCGTTCTCATCTACCTGCCAGCTGTGCTCGAGTGCCTGACCACTGAGATCCTGGAACTAACAGGAAACACGGCTCATGACATCAGAAGGACAGGATCGTCCCTCAGCACCTACAGTTGTCCGCATCGACGAAGAGCTCGGCAGACTGCTGGGAGGAGTGGCCATCGCTCTGGGAGGAGTTCTGACCAGCATTCAGGCGGTCCTACAGTCCGGGGGAAACCGAGGGGCCAGCTGAGTCTGGGTGGACGGATCGGACAGCATCTGCAGCCAGTTTCTTAGGATCCACTGTGGGATGGACCTTTACAAGAGATCCTTCCTGCCTACAGCCATCAATATCTATAACATATCTTAATGAAATGAGGATAACGAGTTACAGCAACAAATAATTTCCCTTTGGGATTAATAAAGTATTTTTGAATTGAATTGAATAACTGAACTTCTCACTGTATCTCTGAGTCCAGCTACCCTGATGAAAAAACTAATTTCAATCACCAGTATCCACAATCTCATTCTATTAGTCTCTACCCAGAGTTCATGAGGGTAGGAATGTAGACTGACTGATAAACAGAGAGCTTTGCCTTACAGCTCAGCTCTTTCTTCACCACAATGGACTGGCACAGAGTCCACAATACTACAGACGCTGCTCCAATCTGTCTGTCAATCTCATGCTCCTTTCTTCACTCACTCATGAACAAAACCCTGACATGCAACAAACTTTTCCCACCTGGATTGGGGGATTTTCTTTTTTTTATTCGTAACTCCACAGTCCATCAGGTTGAATGAAGACCGTCAGGTCATTTTCAGGTCTCTCAGGTTTTTGACACTGTTCAAGTCAGTGCACAGAGCCACTCTAGGACAGTCATGGAGTCGTCCCTAAGCCACTTCTGTGTGTTTTGGCTCGTTGTCATAAAAAATAAACCAGCAGAAGAGGTTGAGTGTATCTCTGAACTTAGCTCCATTCATCATCCCTTCAACCCTGAACAGTTTTCCAGCCTCTGCTGCTGAAAAACGCCCCCACAACATGATGCTGCCACCACCATGCTTCACAGTGTGTATTGTGTTGGGCAGATGATGAGCGGTGCCTGGTTTCCTCCTGACACAAAAGGCCAAAAAGTTAATATTTTTCAGAGGAAAGTCTGAGAGACCTTCCAGCTTCAGCCACTCTGCAATAAAATTTAAATCAGTGCAGTTCTGGTTCTACACAGAATCTGAACCTCGGTCAGAATGACTGTTATGGTCTCAGTCATGGCTTTCCATGACATCTTCTCTTTCGACTGCTCAGTGGCATGAGCAGCTCTTGGAAGAGTCCTGGTTGTACCAAACGTCTTCTATTTAAAAACCATGGAGGCCACTGAGCTCAGAGGAACCAGCACAGTACAAAAGATTTATTTATTTTTTGTTTCCTCCTGCTCTGTGCGTGGCGAATCTGCAGCAGACTTTTCAAATCCCATCCAATCAGTTTAGTTGACCACAGGTCTAACTGTGGTGTAGAAACATCTCAGCAGCCATCAAGAGAAATGGGAGGGAGCTGAACTCATTTTCAAGGGTTACTGCTTAAAGACCGATTCAAACAGGTGCAGCTTCAGACTGCAACATAAGAACATGAAGGGGTCTGAATACTTCCTGAAGCTACTGTAAGTGACACTCCGTGTCCTCAGCAGTCCTCATGCAGCCGGGCTGACGACACTTTCTGCACTTCAGGCTCCACAGTGCCGTCCAGGCTAAGCAGAAGGATAAGCAGACGATATCCCAACTGGAGAAGAGGCTGAAGGCCGAGCAGGAAGCCCGAGCTCTGGCTGAGAAGCAGCTGGCGGAGGAGAGGAAGAGGAAGAAGATGGAGGAGGCCACTGCAGCCAGAGCTGTAGCTTTGGCGGCTGCAACAAGGTACAGATCTTAGTTGAATCTGCGTGTTCCTCATATTTGTGTCAGCTGTTTCTAGCCATTAAAAAAACAGTTTTTCCTCATCTGTGCTACAGAGTGGAGTCCACCGATTCCCTTCGAGGTCGTATCAGAGAGCTGGAGACAGAATGCAAGAAGCTCAGCATGGACATGAAGCTTAAGGAGGAGCAGATTAGAGATCTGGAGGGAAAGTGTCAGGTGAGACAGAATGAAAAATATGTCTTATAAAACTATGAAGCATTTTAATCTGCAGTTAAAGTGTTTGTCCTTCACTGAATCAGGCACTTTATTTGGATGTTAAAGCCCCATTGTCATTTTTCTGCTTCCGTTTGATTCCCGACACACACAGGAGCTGCGCAAGTACAAAGAGAACGAAAAGGACACGGAGGTGTTGATGTCGGCGCTGTCAGCCATGCAGGAGAAGACCCAACACCTGGAGAACAGCCTCAGTGCTGAGACCAGGATCAAACTGGACCTGTTCTCCGCTCTGGGGGATGCAAAGAGGCAGCTGGAAATAGCACAAGGTGGGTGGTACAAGTCCACTCTGAGTAATTCCCACCAAAATAAAGTGTTCAAATTGTTGTCAGAGTGCACTGTTTTTATAAATTAAGTGTTTGAATGAATATATCTGTGGATGATGGACTCGGGTGCAAACCGGTCGGGCTGAAAGTGTCAAATAGAACTGGTAACACACGTTCTGTTCAAATTGGTGCATAAAGTAAACGAATGTCATAACAACCAACACAAGTCATAAATAAAAACACTTAGTTCAGGTCATATTATTATGAGCTGTCAGGTGGGAGTTAGAGAACAAATTACTGTATGTTTAGCCCTGGAGTTTAAAGAAAGCAACAAAGGTAAGAATGGATGACATGCAGGTCAACTCACCTGTTCTGTAACGTCCAGTGGGTGAAATCTTTTATTCAAGGCAGGTAAGGTTGGAATTACCCTTAAAGTTTAAAAACGTAGTCGACCATTCTTACACCTACATTTGTATCTTGAATTTCAACATGTGCCCGTAGTAAAACGAAAACCTGTTGAGCATCACTTTTTATAGGTATAAATTGTAACTCAATATTGTGGAGAAATTGCATTTAAACTTTGTTTTGCTCATTTTTAGTCAGATCATTTAAATGTTTCTGAAAACTTTTTTGATTTGTGACAGTAATCCAACAAAAAAAATAAACTTGTGTTTAAATTAATTTTACTGAAGCTGAGCCATGAATGAGGAATGATCAGTTATTATTAGTTACGGTTAGTTATTGTCAATTTATCATTTACCATTTGTGTTGTAGCAGTTAAGTCATTTTTAGTTTGGAGTAAAAGTGTAACAAGTTGCTTTTAACACATAATGTAACTTCATACATTTTACAAAATATTTAGTTTGTCTACTAAAACTTAACTTAGTAATTAGTTGTTTTTAATTTCTACATAATTACATTAAAATTAATTCCTAACATTATCTTTTTAAACAAACAAATAAAATATGTTAAAATAACCTTTGCCATTTAACTGTAACCTAAAAAAACTATTTATAAACCTGCTGCTTACGTATCAGTCATGAATGGAGTCATGGGAAAACATTTTCAGAAAAAAAAAAGATTTTAGCAAAAGACACATGAAATGGAACATAAAATGCAGCATGAAAAGACAGCCCGAGTAAACAAAACAAACAAACAACAACAAAAAAATACCTAAACTATTTTTTAGTACCTGTAATTTCTGAGTGAGGTTTTAGTTTTTGCCAACCTGGCTCAGTCAAACTTCATGATCCCCTCTCTGAAATGTGTTTTCTTCATCACTGAGCTTTAATTCAATTCAGTTTATTTCTACGGCTCTAAGTCACAACAGAAGTCGTCTCAGGGAACTGAACAAAAACATTCACACTATAAAAAACAATTAGTAAAGTTCTCTATCTAAGGAAGCAGAAGACACATTGAATCTTCACTTTGTCACAGTCTCCCATCCTGAGCAAACTCAAGGGAGACAGTGGAAAAGAAAAACTCCCTTTAACAGGAACAAACCTCCAGCAGAACCAGGCTCAGGACAAGCGGCCATCTGCTTCAACCAGCTGGGTTTGAGAGGACAGGAAGGAGAAACAGACACAGACTGACGGGTTCAGATGTAGTTTCTACAGGAGGAAAGACAACGATCACATGTTGAGATAGAAATAATTACAAATACAAACAGGTAGAGTGAGTAAAGACAGCAGCAGAGTCAGGAAATGTGGTCAGTTTGTCCTCCAGCAGTCTAATCCTATAGAAGCATAACTGAGGGACAGCTTATGAACCGTACCAGATCAGCTGGATATAGACCTTCTCCTTTACCAACCTGATTGTGATGCAGCAACAAGTGAAACTCCTGGAACTCCTCCAGCCTCAGCTGCATGTCTTTAGAATTTAGCAGAACGTTTGAGTTATATTTTATTTTATTATTATTTTATTAACCTTTATTTAACCAGGAAAATCACATTGAGATCACAGATCTCTTTTGCAAGGGAGACCTGAAGGCAGCCCAACATGCATGTTTTTGGTCTGTGGGAGGAAACTGGAGTACCTGGAGAAAACCCACGCAAGCACGAGAAGAACATGCAAACTCCACACAGAAAGACCCCAGGTCCAACCGGGGATTGAACCCAGGACCTTCTTGCTGCGAGGGAACAGTGTTAACCACTGAGTCGTGCTGCCACAAACACTAGAGCTAACACTCCATCCTTGCAGTTACTACTGTAGTTGCTAATCACTCTGGTGGAGGTGCACAAAATATACATGTACCTGGCACAGACTTGGTAGCAAATTTTCTATAATTCATGACTTGATTTTTTTTTTATTTTATTTTTTTTATACATTTCTTGGGGCAAAAGATCTGGACCTGAAGCCCTGAATGCCCCAGTCTAACCACGCTGGTGGTTTCAGCCTCACTGAGGAGAAAGTTGAGCACTGTTCAGTAACATGAGATGGGAACCTCAACCACATCCACCCTCTTCCTTCCTCATCCATTCTGGACCATGATGAGACCAAGTTCTTCTTGCTTTGTGTTTACAGTAAAGGGGAAAATAAAAGACAACTGAGCAGTTAATTGTTGTAGCCCCACGGTGAGCACTTTGCCAAAACTCTCTTGGAGCATTGCCAGATTAGTGTGGGTGTGGTGGGATTGTAGTCTGGGCGTGCGGCCAGCATGGCCAGTCCCATATCAGATTCTTGATGACCACAGAGCTATGACCCCGATAATAAACCCCACATGACCTTGTCACAGGAGTTATCGGCACATGTGGAACATCATGGATTATTTCACACCTATCTCCCATAATGGGAAGCCTACCTTTTTCTTAATACACACCTGAAGACCTAGCCAGGATGCTGCAAAGACCATCCATGTTCAGGTGGATTTTTGTCTTTTTTGTTGTTGTTGTGGGGTCTTGCTGTGTGTGTCCGGGGGGGGGGGGTGGGGGGCGGGGTGTTGTTTTGCAGTGTCG